AAAGTTTTCGAGAAATGCGGCTATTATTATTATTATCAAAAAAATACCGGCATATTTTCTGCATATCTTTATTATTGTTTTAATATTTATTATTATTATTATTATTGAAAAAAAAATAGATAGAAAATGAAAAGGTGAGATCTAATTTTATAAATAAATCATCAATAAATTGTTGATTTAAGTGAAACTTGATCAAGTTGAATTTATTAAAAAAAATTTTGAATTTAAATTTAATAAAAAAAATTAAGAAGATAAAATCATACAAATTCTTGTAATTAACAAAGCTGATTTATCTTTGCATTAATAACAAAATTATTTGCAATATATATATAGAGAGAGAGAATCTTGTTAGATTTATTTCACCTAATAATAAAGCTGTCAAAACGGGTCAGTCCGGTCTATGTGAGTCAGTCCACCTTGACCCACTTTAAAAATGAGCCAACTCAACCCGATTTACTTTTAATTTTTTCAAAAATAATTTGGCCCGGCTCGACCCGTCACTGTTGGTGGGTTATACGGGCCAGCCCACCAACCCACCAAAAGTAATAAAAAAATTATCAACAAAATTTAAAATTTAAAATTAATTATAAATTAACGTAATAGTCATAAAATTAGCATTATTAATAGTCATAAGTCATAACTCATCATACAAAATTAAATACAAATCATGATAAAAGTGTAAAATAAAAATTTTCAATATCCCATCATACAAAATTAACTACAAATCATACTTAAATTTTTATTGCAAAAAAAAATGGTGGGTTGGTGGGCTACCCGGCCCACCACGGGTTTAGCCCGGGTGAGCCGGGTGAAAGTGGGCCAGGTTGAGATATACCCACCTATTATAAAACTTCAATTTCTTTTGGTCCGGCCCGGCCCATTTTCAAAGTGAGTCTGGTTGGCCCACGGGTTCCGACCCACTTTAACGGCTCTACTTAATAATTCATGTTATATATTTATTATTAGATTTCCTTTGTCTTTACTTTATGATATTTATCATGAATAGATGAAATATTTAATTTGAAGTTTTACCATAAATCATTATAGCTAAATAAAGAAGTCAAAGTCTTCAAAAAAGAACATAATCATCATTACTATTAACACTAGCGAAAATATTGACACATTTTTTGTTTATCTTTATTACAATTTTAATATTTATTACTATTATTGAATATAGAGAAAAAAATAAACAGATGGAAAGTGAAAAGGTGAGAAATAATTATATAAATAAATTATCAACAAGTTGTTGATTTGAGGGAAACTCGATCAATTTGAATCTCATAAGTAAAGTCTTGAGTTTGAATTTTAATAAAAATATAATTAAGAAGATAAACCCTACTACAAATAGTTAACCAGATTTCAGACAAATATTAGTTATTAACAAAATTTATTAATTTCTGCACCAATAACACAATTATTTAAAGAATATATATATATATA